TTAATATAGAGTTTTTGATATAAGAAATATAAAAACAATATATACAAATATAAGTAGTATTAAAACATATATTGACAAATAAAAAACGTCTTTTTAGAATGTAATAGTTTATTCAGCAAGATTTGTCTAACGGAACATAGTGTACTTACGATGCTTCACAAACAAAGTCAACTTTTCATTTTTTAAGTACAAAATATATATTTTTAAAAATACTTAAGTGAGGAGGAGGAGTTGTAGTGTTTATTCGGAATGATTAAGAAAAACAGATTAGTAATGATCTTTTTATTTATGATGCAGACTGTGAGGCTCTTACAGTTAAAATTGTTATTCACAAAAATCAAAAGATCATGGTAACAACTTGTTACAGACCACATTATGGTGATATTATTAAGTTTTCTAACTATTTGATTTAAGTTTCTATTAAAAGCAACTGTGAAAAAAATGGGAATAATTTTGCTGATTAGACTTGAACATAGAATGTTTAAAATACAATTAACGCGCGAAAAATAAAATGTTCATTGATAGTTTATTTAACACAGTATACTCCCATTAATAAATAAACATACACGAATCACTTCAACTTCATTTACAATCATAGATAATACACTAACAAACACATTTCTAGATGCAAATCATAAAATAGGTATTTTTAAAACAGAACTATCAGATCAGTTCCCGATATGTTTTCGCTTGCACAATACTCAACATCTTGAAACAATGGAAAAATTAAAACATATAAATGAAAAACTAACAAGTCTTCTCTTTGCAAATTTAAACAATCTTTATTGAAAACATATTGGTCTTCTGTTTATGTTCAATACAACCAAGGGTTTACAAATACTGGCTGTTAAATATATATAAACATTTTTCTTGAACAATACAATAGGCGTTTTCTACTTTCAGAAAAAAAATAAAAATTTTTAAAAAAAAAATTTAAAAAATCACTATTAAAAATAATGTTTCTGGCATTGCCGATATTTCCAGCGATGTAGAAGTAGATATCTTACCCTTTATAAAAAATCCTACTTTTAATATTTTTAACGCATTACTTCGAACAGTAATAGGTCAAGAAAAAATAATGATAGCAAAATATTTTACCAATAATTAAAACTGAGACACGGCATCACTAACTATTTATAAACATCAAGTCTAGTAGTATTCTCAAAGCTTCTTGATCGAATAATTTACAATAGCCTTTATTGATAGATAACAGAAGAGAAAATTTTAAGTGAATACCAGTACGATTATCTGACAAATCATTTAACAAAACATGCAACCATTGACCTCATTTACAATATTAGCTCATCTTTTGATAAAGGACAGTTTCTATTTGGAGTCTTAATTAACCTTCCAAAAGCTTTCGATACGGTCAACTACAAAAATCTTATTGAAAAAATGAAAAAGTATGGTATAAAAAACAAAACAATTAGGTTGTTCACCAGTAATTTTATTAAAACACAACAATGTGTCTTAATCGATGGTATTTCTAAATCAAAGCTATTCAAAATAAAATGTGGTGAAAGTAATTAAATGCGGTTTGCTGTCTACAAAAAACTTCTTTTATTCAATTACCAATAAGTTTAATACTAGAGCAACTGATGTTTAATACTTGAACAAAACTCTCAGTTTTTATCTGTTATCGTGGCCCGTATTTATATAAAACTCCGAAATACACCTTAAATACTCTTACTGACAATATATACTTTCTTTAAAGTTAAAACATAAAAATCATGTTCTTATTATAGATAATTACATACATTTATTCTAGTTTAAATGATAAATCAAAGTTTGAACTACAACAATCTACAACGTGAGAAATTTAAGGGAATAATACTAACTTATATTTTTTACAACCTATCAAAATGGCAATAAGTTTTTTAAAAAACTATGCTAAGAAAAGTAAATACTTTTTATTAAATATTTATTTAGTAAAAAAATTTAAAACAAAAATTAGGATATCAAATTTAAGTAAAAAAGTTTTAGAGAGGGTTATAGAATTTTTTATTCTTCATAAAAGTTATAATGGATAGAAAAAAAACAAGAAGTCTTTAATATACAATTATTAAAACTAATAAAACTTTCATTTTTTTCAATCATAAATATGACGTACATAGTTTATTTTTAATATTTAAGTAATATAATAAAAAAAATATTAAAAAAAAAATTGACATTGGCATGAGCATATGTTTGGAGTTTGCATATTGCTTAAACAAGTCTTATATAAAACATAAACAAAATATTTGCAACATTCAACAATAAATTATCAACTTCGATATAAAAACAAAGTTTTATTTAGTGCTTTTTTGTACAATGCCCAATCGTATTGATTGACTTCTGTTAGTTTGGCATTAAACATAATGCACATTGTTTTCATTATTATCCTAAAAGTTTATTTATCATCTGGAATTTCTAATAATAAGAAATTGTAAAGGTTTTCCAACAACTGCACATAAACTTTATTTTGCAAAATATTGTTTGGATCAGCATATGTTAAGAACACTGAAGTGCTTCACTTTCTTTTGACCTTTAATGGTTTTTAAAATCAAAAAAAGATAACTCCATATCCAACTGAAACATACCACCATCTAACTGAACTTTAAATGAGCTTTATTGAAATATGTTTTTTTTTTTGGTGTAGTTGATTAAATGAAGTAATCATGACTAAAATCAAGTAAAAAGAAAATATGCATTAGAATTATATTCCAATGTCTGTTTTAAATCAGAAATAGAAAAAATAAATACCTTTATCAAGGTTATTTTTTGACAATATCTCTGAAAAAGGAATAAAAGCTAATTTTATGTAAGTTGTCTTCAATTCTTTCAAACATTATTCGTAATAGTCAATTATTAACAAACATTTCAAACAGTAAATAATCAAAAAATAATTTTTTTTTGATACTAATTTTTTTTAAATTCTGGTAAATAATTGTTAAAAAAACTGGTAGTTTTTTTTCCAATTACTCTTTAAAAACTCACAGTTTGAAAAAAGCCTCGTTCATATAAGCATTCTTGTTTCTGAAGAATCTGGGTTGCTTTTTAACATGATTAGTGGCAAATCATTGTTAATGTGTTTACTACCTCCAATTATTTTTATACAAATACAATATTTGAACACATTCTACATCAGAGTAATTGTTTAAAGCAACATATTGAGCTTAATGAAAGATTTGATCTTGAGCAAATTAACTACATTTCTGTTTAAACTAAAACAAAATAAAACAACTAAAACAACTAAATAAACTATGATCGTTAAACTTAATGAGACATATACCATTTAACAAAATAAAACTGTAAAATATATCAGTTATAAAGATGTAGTGGCTTTTTTGTTAATGTATGCAGTGTTTTATTAAAATTTATAAAGATATAGTTGTTTTCTTGTTAATATAAAGTTTTAATAATTGTATATATTACCATAATCATAACAATAAAGCGTCTTTTAAAATATATAATATATACTTAATACTTTAAATAATATAAAATATACTATAATATGTTATTTTACATAACAATGTTACTATTATTTTATGTGAGATGTTAAATAATATTATTAATGTAATATTCTCCTAATATATATATATATATATATATATATATATATATATATATATATATATATATATATATATATATATATATATATATATATATATATATATATATATATATATATATATATATATTAATATATATATATATGTATATATATATATATATATATATATATATTATATATATATATACATATATATATATATATATATATATATATATATATATATATATATATATATATATATATATATATATATACATATATATATATATGTATATATATATGCGGTAGTGGTGTAGTGGTAGAGTGCTCGCTTCATAAGCGAGAGGAGAATCTCGCTTATGAAGCGAGATTCTCCTAATATATATATATATATATATATATATATATATATATATATATATATATATATATATATATATATATATATATTAATATATATATATTAATATATATATATATGTATATATATATATATATATATATATATATATATACATACTATATATATATATATATATATATATATATATATATATATATATATATATATACATATATATATACATATATATATATATATATATATATATATATGTATATATATATATATATATATATGTATATATATATGCGGTAGTGGTGTAGTGGTAGAGTGCTCGCTTCATAAGCGAGAGGTTCCGAGTTCAATCCCCACCACGTCCCTGGTAGTACCGCGCTCAACTTGTTTCTCTGCGCAGCGGCCTTGTTCGTCAAGGTTCGTGTTTCGGAGTTATAGAGTTGAGAGAGGGTTATATAACCACAAATAAGTAGCCTCCTCGTCTGTAGTGGCCTTATCGGCCTTGAGTTGGTGAATTAATAAAAAAAAAAAAAAAAAAAAAAAAAAAAACATTATAATCGTATATTTATTAAAGTTAGCTAAGATAAACTGCTTACCCAAGTATCAAAAAAAATATTTTTACAGTACAAGTAATAGAATTAAGTTATACGAAGAGGTTCAGAGTTTCTCAATGAAAATAATTTTTTGAAAGTTGTGTACCAAAATTGCGTTTTGGAAATAATGACTAATAGCGTCATTGACAGGAAGAACCATTTCTTTTTCCCGCTTCAAGTATTATTAAGAAAAGTAAATACAAAAATGCAACTCATGGTTAAAGATTATTAATAAAAGTATGTCAAATAAATTAATTTCATATCATATTTAAAACTAAATGAAATGAAAGGTTAACTTTTGTTTCGCAAAAAAATCATTTCTAGGTAAATGTAATAAATAACTCAAGTGTTTGTAATAGTTATAAAAAAAGTAATGGGAACTTAGAGAATCATTCAAACATAATTTTATAACATTGATACAAAAAATTAACACTATAATATTATAAACAATGGTATTTAATAATCTTATAATTTCATTTACTCAGTTTAAAATAGAAAACAAATACTATACTACAACTAGATGGATCTTCGTCTGAATTATCCGAACAATCATTGATACCATCACATTTCCAATACAGATGAATACACTCACCATTAGAGCAAAAAAATGAATCAACGCTGCACACTAAAAAAAAAATAAATTTAAAGCTACTAAGTTTTAATGTTTTTAAAGTTTTTACGAATATAAATATATACGTTAATATATATATATATATATATATATATATATATATATATATATATATATATATATATATATATATATATATATATATATATATATATATATATATATATATATATATATATATAAATATATATCAGGTCAACTTCATCAGATATATAAAAAAAGTAACAAATCAACTTTTAAAAGTTGTCATCTATATAAATATTTAATTAAAACATCTGTTTTTTGTATATAAATTTATTTCTATAAAATCAAAATAATTTAATGCAAAAAATTTAGGGCTCGTTTATACCGTTGTTATTGAAGTAATATAAACAAATCGTTAAAAATCAAACGAATAAAAAACTTTAGTGTAATGTGTTTATGAGACTTAATTTAAAAAAATAAGGTTTTTAAAACGGAAAAATCACATAATCAAAATTATTTTTATTTTAACCACCGTCATTTAGAGAAAACAGGTGTATTTATTTTACCTTGAGTTTACTCACTTTCATTTAAAAATAATCTGCTTCATCTTTGATATGTTTTTTCAGCCAATTTCAGCCATAGATACATAGCGACTTTTGGATTGCCTGCCACGGATACTTTTTTAATTTTTCTCTCAATAGTATGTCTTTTTTTATTACAAAACAATGTTGAAAACGTAAGTTTAATTCACTTTCATAAAATTTTGTACATAAATATTTTAACTTGTAGACTCTAGAATATTATTTTCATGAAGTCGAGACTTCTTATTTTGAGTAATTGTCAAATAATATTTCTGACTTGAAAACTGGAGTATAACCTGTATTTTTAAATATCTTTTTTAATGTGATATTTTTATTGGGTTCCAATTGCAAAGAAATTCAATTAAACTCTGTTTTTTTGATGTTATTGTTGTTATTTTTAAAAAATATTTGAATTAAACAATAAATAAAAAACAAAAAATAATAAATTATGAAAAGTAAAAATCAAAAAGCATAAATAAACAAATAATAAGATTAGTTTATGTACTAAAATCAGATCCTTTAACTTAGTTTTATGTTAGAAAGTAACATAAAACAAACTGCTAATAAAAGAGAACATTGAAAAGAGTAAAATATAAAAACCAAAATATTTATAAATTAGTGACATCAGTTAAGTTTTTGTAAAAATAGTTCATATGTTTTTGTTTTACAGTTATCCTCGACAACTTGTTTTATATAGTAATATTTTGACACTATGCAACAAAGTTAACCGGTTAATAGTTTGACATTTAATGAATTTCAGTAGTTAAACAAGTTGTTACCATTAACTGTTGTTGTTCTTGATGTTAGTGTTGTTGTTGGTGATTGCGTTGTTGGACCTAAAGAAAATAATTACAGAAATCTTTTATAACTTTTTAAAAATAAAAGTAACTTTAACCTATATAGTAATATTTTGACACTATGCAACAAAGTTAATCGGTTAATAGTTTGACATTTAATGAATTTCAGTAGTTAAACAAGTTGTTACCATTAACTGTTGTTGTTCTTGATGTTAGTGTTGTTGTTGGTGATTGCGTTGTTGGACCTAAAGAAAATAATTACAGAAATCTTTTATAACTTTTTAAAAATAAAAGTAACTATAACCTAAATATAAATGTAACTTCTTCAAGTCATTTAATACACATATTTTAGCGTTAATAGTTTCATTTTGTGTAATACACTCATTTAAACTATGCCTAATTTTAATATAATCCTTCTAACTCTGTTTTTTCAACTTGGAAAAAATAACCAGTCAATAAAATTAACAAAATAAATTTAAATCCTAACCTAATTAGGTAATAATAGTAATAATAATAATGATTATAATAATAACAATAATAATAGTGTATATATAATAATAACTATACATGCGATAGCAAGATTTTGAATGTTTTTATTGTTAATATGCTTGCAGGAATTAATAAGTTTGTGGCAAAATCAAAAGTGTTCAAAAAAAACTTTAAAGTTCTGACAAAAATTAATGGTTTCTTTGAGTACGTTTTTAACAAAATTTAATAAAACTTTTATATATAAATATGTATTTAATAAAAAGCAAAGCCCATTGGTATGTGCACTTACGGGGACAAACTAGAAAATATTTTTTTGCATGTATCATGTATATATATCTTACTTTTTTTTTTTTGAAAACTCTTTTATCTTTTCAGAAAAGTTAAATAAATAATAAAAAAAGTCTTGAACTATAATCTAATCATGAGTTTTTCAAGAATATTTTTTTTACTCTTGAAAGTTTTTTTTTCAAATGCGAACTTGCGAACTTTATTAAAAACGCATTTAAAAATGTAAACAAATGAAACGATAATGTTTTTTTTTACTTTGTCATTGACTTTATCTTTATATTATTAGGATTGATTTATGTTGTTTTTGTATTTTGATTCTAAATATAAGTACTTTACTGACAGTAAAGATATTATAACATGACTTGAATTTTTTCATCTTGTAAGATGTTAAAATCCTTATGATATTATAGTATCTTAAACTTCAAGATTTTATAATATCACTAAGATGTTTTCATAAAAGATGTTTATGATACATATCACACATTTATAATATATATTACAAAAATGTTTATGATACATTATTTAAATATATTATTTAGTAAGATATTTATAATATATTTTATCCTACTTTAGCTATAAATACTTTACTGTCAGTAAAGATAATCTTTACTAACCCTAAAGTATTTATAAATAAAGTACGATATAAATTATTAAAAATATATTTAACAAATAAAATATTTTAAATATCTTTGTGACAGTAAAGTATGATTTCCTTTTTGTACCTTCTAACTGTAATGCTGTACATAACAGAGTTTTTAACTGAAAAATATTTTTCTAGAGTGTAAAAATAATAAAATCTAATTAAGTCTATTATTATTTGTATCAACTTAAGTTTTATTTTAGTTTATGTAAATACTAATTAACAAAAATGAATTTTATTTATAACCAATGATTTTTTATTATACCATTTTGTAACATAAATAATGTTGAAAGGTTAGGGTTAGAAATCTTCGTCAAAACATAAATTTGATTTTATTTTGTACTTATCCTTTATTTAAGTTTAAGTAATAAAATAATTTAGCATAGTATTTAATTTAAATTTAAAAAACTAGCTTGCATTAGAAAAAAAATTAGTATTTCAAGTTTGCTATTTATTAAAGATAACATAATGTTATGGTCAGAAGAATAAACAATCGAAGGGCGTGTTATATTGTTAATTAAACTTTCTATTGACTGCAATGATTATTTTACTGATTATTCAGGGTATATTAGTTTGCAAATGATGTTAAGGTCTGAGCTCTGATAAAACAAATCTGCATAATATCAGCTTAGTTTTTTATTATTTATCTATAAAGACCAATAAAATTGCAAGCCACAAGAAAATTGTAAACTTATAAGGGTTACAATAGTATTTACTTAAATGATAAATAACATAAACTATTTTATATTTTAAACATTTTATTTATTTTTGAATACTTTAATTAGCAATTAGTTTCCTAATTTTTATTTAAAATTGCGATGTTAACACTTTTTTCAAATGCTCGTTTACTTTTATTGATTTTGTTTTATATGATTTAATATATGTTTATAATATTATGTTTAAGAGCTTTTAACTTTGTTATTTGTTTAGCATTTATTTTACTCTACTTTCAAAACACTTTGAGTCTAAGTAAAATTTTAAAATTATGTTTTTTTAATAAAGCCATATAGGTCATTTTTGAATCTGTATTGTGTTTTCTTGTTTTAAAATTTCATTTTGTTTTTTTAGAATAGAGTAAAAATAAAATTAGAAAAAAATAAAAACTAGAAGAGACTGTTCACATCTAAATCATATTGTTCTTCTAACATTGCTTCACTGGATATATTTTATTTATAAAGTTAACAAATTTTGAAATTATATTTTTAATGCTTATGCACTTTGAAAGAAACTACTTTTAATGAAACTTAGAGCAAGTAGCATGCAAGCTATTTATTGAATTGCTGGTGATATTATCTCTGTATAGTACTGCCTGTTCACGAAGTAAATAATAGTAAAAGCGAATGGGATACCAGCTGTTAAATCGTCCATTGAAATTTAAAAAAATAATTCTTTTATAAAAAAGATGGATTATGGATAGTTGTTTTATTTAAGAACAGTTAAAGTGCATGGAGGGACTGCTGAGATGTGTTTGATGCATTCAAAAGTATCCCAAAACACAAATTTAAAAAAAAATTACTGAATAAATAAAATCACTTTTTTATTGTATCACTATTTGTTTATGAATCTGATTATCTTATTTCTCTAAATAAGTCTTTTTAAATTTTGAATATTATTATTAGCTTTAATTTTGATAATTTTCAGGGATTTTTTTTACTGATTAACTAATTTAAAATAAGTTTTACGTATTCAGAGACAGATCCAGGATTTTTTGGTGATTGAGGTAGCTAACTTCCAGACACGAAGCAAACTCCAAACATAAGTATGTTTATACTTATGTCAAATAATGAGTCAGTTCAAAAAATTGCGAAGATTGGAGGCAGATTACAAAAAAGCCCTTTAAGTTTTTATACCCCCCCCCTCCTTACTCCAAACGTGAGGGGCAACAATTTGATAAAAATTTTTTGTACTTTTATCAATTAAATTTGTATTCATCGATAAGTTTTAAATTTTTAAATAGTATTATCTCTCAGCGTTCATAAATTATGACCATATAAAATTGTAACCCCCTCATATTGAGGGTGATGTAAACTTTATATGGTCATAACTTTTGAACACTTAGAAATAATACTCTAAAACTTAAAGTTTGTCAATGAATATAAATCTAATTGAGAAAAAAACAAAAGTTTTTTTATCAAGTTGTTGTCCCTCATGATTGTTTTATAAAGTCGATGGGCTTTTTTGGTCCCTGCCTCCATTCGTCGCAATTTTTTGCATAGCCTCATTATTTGACATAAGTATAAACATAATACTGTTTTGAATTTGCTCTATGTACGAAAGTTAGCTATCTCAATCACCAAAAAATTATGGATCTGTCACTGGGTATATTGGAGTAACTATATCTGAACCAAGATTCTAAGATTTTCTTTTAGGTTTTTTAATTCTTTTTACATTTTAAATTTGTTTTAATGCTGAAGGTTTTAACTTTATTTTTGATTTACTATTATTTTTTATTTCTGTACTAAAAACTTTGTATTTTCAATTTTAAAATCGTTTAACGAATTTAATTTAATTAAAAAAAAACCGCTTAATTTTTTAAACAAATGATATAATTTTTTTTTCTATGTGGGCAGAAGGGAGAAGTTTTTAGCTCTCTTTAATTTCACTAAAGTTTTAAAATCCTTAAAAAAATTCACTAAATTGAATTAGTTTTGTGTTAACTAGTTTTTAGAAAACAAAGAGCTTATTTAATTTTTAAAAAATTTATAAATGGCCTTATTTTTAAATTTTCCTAATTCAAAGAGCATAGTTATTCTTTTGGTTTGTAAAAATTTTTTATGAATCAAATCCTTTATGAATCAACGAAAAATGTACTAAATTTTTACACTCAGTTTTTTTAGTAAGTCCCTGAGAATAAACTTTTTTTTTTACTTTTTCCCAGTAATACAAATTTTCGTGCATGTCTTTATAAATGCTGTTAAAGTGTAGATATACAGTATTTTTTAAAATAGGGATTACATTATATGTCTTGTAATAGCTCAGAACACAGTTAATCTTTTGGTTTTAAAAATTTGAAGTCATTTTTGAATCAGCGGTAGATAAACAAAAAATTAATTATTATTTTTTTTATTTTGTCCCCAAATAAGCACATTTTTTTGCATGTCCCCGAAAAATACAAATTTTTCTGCGAGTTTTTATAATGAAATTTAAGAATTAAATTACAGTATTTGTAAAAATATAAGTTACATGCTGTTTTCTTATGCCACAGAGCGCAGTGAATTGGTTTGCAAAAATTAAAATCATTTTTAAATCAGCGCTATAGTAATTTTTTAAACTAAACTTGTTTTTCAGTTTGTCCCCGAAAATGGACATTTTTTTACTGGTCCCTAAAAATACATATTTTTTTGCATGTCTTTATAATAAAATTAAAAGAAAAAAAATTGCAGTACTTGTAAAAATATAAATTATATACTACTTTTTGTCATGTCACATAGCGCAGTAAATCTCTTGGTTTGCAAGAATCAAAGTCAATTTTAAATTAAAGCTGTAGTAGTTTTCTAAATTAAACTTGTTTTTTAGTTTGTCCCCGAAAATGCACTGGTCACCAAAAATACATATTTTTTTGCATGTTTTTATAAGGAAATAAAGTATAAAATCTCAAAAGTAATAATATTTTTTATGGAAAGTTCGTGTATCTAGGCCTTCTCACTTTTATTTAAATATTAAATAGTTTTAAGTTATGAGTTCCAGTCAAATTATTAGTTAAGATATAATAAGACTTTATTTTTTATTTCTACATTGATTCTAAGAGAGCATTGCGATAGCAAGTTATTATTGGACGTATTTTTGATGGTGTAAGAGAAATTTTTGCCGCTGGTATATTTATTTGTA